AGCACTAACAGACCAAGGCACTGTGCTTTAGTTGAATGAATGTAAATATATAAACTGATCCAGCTGCCAGCACATTTGCAGGGAAACATGCCTGTATAGCTCATTATAATTTTGTGTCTTTTGCTTCGATTTCGCAAGCCACTGTGACAAGAAAAGAAAGGCATTTTTGTTGTTAGCCCTGTTTTTTTTTGTTTTTGAAAGCGGCCCCACAAGTGCGGGCGAAAAAGTTTGCGAGTTCCAAAGCATCGCATTCCAGTGTCACGTAATAGGACGCTGAGAGGGCTTGCTGGTACCACTTCGTTACTTTGCAGAGAGCTATACTGATATGAACCAGAGAAAGGCGAAAATGTGCGCACTTCTACACGTCAATATGTATGTGTGTATGTGTGTGTGTATGTATGTATGTATGTATGTATGTATGTATGTATGTATGTATGTATGTATGTATGTATGTATGTATGTATGTATGTATGTATGTATGTATGTATGTATGTATGTATGTATGTATGTATGTATGTATGTATGTATGTATGTATGTATGTATGCATGCATGCATGTATGCATGTATGCATGTATGCATGTATGCATGTATGTATGTATGTATGTATGTATGTATGTATGTATGTATGTATGTATGTATGTATGTATGTATGTATGTATGTATGCGTGTGCGTGTGCGTGTGTGCGTGTGCGTGTGCGTGTGTGTGTAAAGGGAGAAAGAGAAAGGGCCTTTAAAAAGTTTGTATTATCAGTACACGATGAAAACGAGGGTATGAGAGTGCATCTGTCTAGTTTTACCGTAATATGAAACTTCTGTTCTCCATTATATAACGCAATACCATTATTTCCCCAAAGCAAAATGGTCCCACCAATCGAGAAAGTCTTGCTCACTGGGCGCAGGTGACGCTGACGCATGCAGCCTCCCCAGGCTACAAAACTTTGCCTCACCCGCCATATTCACATCACCTCAGACTAAGCGACTTCTTCCTCTCATCTTCTTACGAAGAGTATACTTCGCGAGGACGTTTCAAGGACGAAGAAGACGTCATTGCTCAAGTCAACTCTTTCTCAAGTCTGAAAATTTGAAGATGAGGAGTTTCACTTTAACAATCTGCGCCGGCTCATGCATCGTGCACATGCAGAAGAGTGCACCCTTTCGTAGGAGATTGTACACAGAAATAAATTTTTTCTTAAGAACGTGTTCATTTGTGTTTTTTTGCTTCGTGCTTAAAAACGAACTGTATGAACAGCCCTTGTGTGTGTATATAGTACATACAACGTTATAAGATATAGTTCTTGTTTTTTATCTGCCTCATTCCTTTTAAGTTTCCACACACACACGTGTGTATACCCTTTTCGCTTTGTCGTGATGCATCAATATAGCATAGCAAAAAACAGACTTGTATACAGTTGCCCTTATTGTCATTTCTAAAGCGGTAAGTGTTTTCGGCGAACTTGTTGAACCGAGCAACGCTGTACCCTGCGTTTAGGAACGAGACAGAGGGTGTTACGTAAACGAAGCTCCGGCCAGTCCACTCAGATCTGCGTGGGCTTTCATGCACGCCTTCCGCAACGCGGGTGCCTAGTTTCTGGGCCGCCGGGTTTTTCTTTTCGTTTTTTTTCTCGAAAGCAGGCGAGTACGGATGAAGAGGCGAGCAAGCGAAAACACGAGAGGATGTCTTGCGAGGAAAGCAATTTGTGCCAGGTTACAAGCCACGAGTCTGGAGAAAGTCGAGACGAGCCGTTGTGCGCGAATAAGGTATCCGGCTGTCCCGAAACCCCACGCGCTTTCGTGGGCTGCTGCGGTGCATCGTTTCATTAGGGATAGCGCAACCAGGCTCGAACAAAGGTGGCCCTGGATGTGGACAAGCGGAATCGCGTATGAAGGAGACCGCGTCGCACGGGCGGCTGACAAGATGGCGACCGCCGTAAAACACCGGCAATAAGCTGAAACCGGAGAGTAAACTGCTCGACGAAGGAAAATAAGCGATACACGAGAAAAAAAGGAAAAAGATAACGGGATGGGTAGGTCAAGGAGAAGAAGAGAATGTAATAATAGACCAGCAAAACCTGGGTACGCGTTGATCATGCCGTACTTCATCATTTCCCGTTCGCAATTTTGACACTCTACCCATTCCTGCAGGAGGTGGTGAAGACGTCGTTACGAATGATTCGTTTGCCCGGAATAAATACTTAATGTTCAGATTTTTTTTGTCGTATGGCATTGTTTAATGGAACTCGTTTCCCGAAGTATTGTAACCGGGACGCAATGCATAACGAAGTGGCTGGTGTTACGTCCATTGTTCTGCCCACGCATGGGTGCACTATGTGTTTCGCTCTTTCCACGTAACGTCCGTTCATTCCTCAGTGTAAAGCAGAAAACAGTACATTTCGTGCAGTGCCTTCCACCCGCGTTTCCCTTTCTTTCTTACCTTTTAGCCTTTGTTGTGTAAAGAAAGTCGGTAGCCGCTATTTTATAGAACGTACTATGATAGCTTTCCATGGTCACCATCGGTAGTGCAGTGATTAAGGTGCTTGGCTGCTGACCGAAAGGTCATGTTTTCGATACCAGCCGTGGCGGTTGCATTTTAATGGAGGCGAAATGCAGGACGCACGTGTACTGTGCGATTTCTATGCACATTAAAGGACGCCAGATGGGCGAAATTTCCGTAGCCCTCCTATAAGACGTTATTCATTATCGTACCGCGGTTTTGGGATGTTACGCCCCAAACATTAGTGTTATTATTAAAGCTTGAGAAGTTCACCGATGATGTTGTAAAGGATCAAAATTTTCTAAGCGGTTGTCACCCGTTGCTTTTTCCTTTCCCAGACTAAGTCGTTGTGTGTGGCCAACCCTCTTCGCAGGTGAAGCTTCCAGCTACACTTGGAGGCAGCCCAACGAGAAGCCACAATAGCATCACATTTTTTATCGATATAAAGAAGGTGAGACGTTTTCAAACAATCGTGCTCTGACAGCCGGTGCGGCATACATTAAAAACATATTCTAGCTTTGCTTCATTTGCGGTTCATCGTACGACACTCATTCGTCCCATTGAGTGATTGCGCCACACACTGCTTGAATAAAATTTTGATTGCGTGCTCTTCTTTGATTAGCGAAATAATCTTGTTTGTTTATGTGCTTGTCATGACCCATGTTGCGTATGGCAAACTTGATGTGGTCGTATAGCAAAGCGGGTGCAGAATCCAGTCAGGAGACAGGCAACTTCCTTTAGTCCTGACACAGACGCAATGTATTGCCCGAATAAGTCAATTATTGTAGCGACCTCACAAATGAAATGCATTCAGGGTTCACAAAATGTGTGTGAAACAGCTTTCAGGATTAGAGGGCAACTTCGCACGTTATTACAGACCATTGAATAATCTTGTCGGTCATGTGACGGCAATAGAACAACGCCCCCCTACCCACCCATGGATGCGTCCCTCTGCATAAAGTTCAGCGGAAGCTTTTGGAAGCCGTCCGCCCGTTTTTTCGTGTGACGCATGACTAGCATGCGTGATCAATTCTTTTCATTTTGAGCGTTTCCAACTGTGAGAGCGGCAATAACAGCGTGTAGCCGACAAGCGCGAAATCTTGACAGGACGAAATGCCACGGGACAGCACCATTCAGTTTATACAATTATGGCTGACATTCGTCAATCAACATACACGCTGGATGTCTGAGCCACGAGCACAAAAGCCATTGTTGCCGTTCACATCATCACTCACAAAATTATTGAAAAAAGCATTGCTCAAACATGTGTTTCCAATGCCTTGGAAAAAGTATGTCCACAAATTGTAACTGAAAGTATCGTGGCGCAGATACGTCGGCTCAAAGTAGCAAGTTATCCCAAAAAACTGCTTACATCAGTAGCGGAAACAATCTACGGGAGAAAGAAAAACTGCAGGACAAATTATCCCCAGGCCGACGCGAAAGCTGGTCGGTGCAAGAAGATTGCAGTCATACCCTACATGCAAAATATATAAGATCACCCCATGAAAATAGGCCAACGTTGCGGTGTTCAAGCGGGTTTTTAAACACCCCTTATACTGTCATATCTTTCGCCTATCACCTGTCCTGTGATGAAAAATAAACGCCAGGGTACTACAAAACATCGCAAACGATACGTATATTGCATCAACAATGTAATCAATAGTATTTCGCTTTCATGCACGGTATGCTATGTAGGCCAAACAGGAAAGTCTCCAAATAACCACCTGTGTGAGCACAAGAATAATGTGCGTACAGCTAAAGCGGGGTTTTTTTTGGTCATTCACTGCCGTGCCTGCGGATGCACCCCTTTGTTTGAAGAAACCACAATCATCGGTAGATATCAGGACGAGCACACTCGCGAAATCATCGAAGCCGACCCTATTGCGCATGATCATGCATCAGCATGCCATCTGTCTGTTTATCGATAGTTATCTTTTTTGAAAGAGCGCGTATGATTATTCCTAAAAAAACTCTTATCATGCTGTACATTTTTTTTCATGTTTTTTTCCGTATAATTTTTCTTTTCTTGTTAAATAAATCTTCAATCGCTAGTCAGTGTTTCTCTGTGTCCTTTCTTTTGTATCCCCATGTTGAATATTGCACCGTTTGTACTTAATTATAGAAGACCAACTAGCCCAAAGCTTCCCTCTACTAAGCTTAGTGCTGGCACTGTACACATGCTCTTAAGCAACGAGTAGATATCGCCTGTAGGAAGGCTAGGTGGAAACCACTTCCTTGTCTTTGAACGCAGGTTAGTCTTTTAAGCTTTGCTTTTGTTTGTGTTCTGCCATTTTGTAGTACATTTATTTCTATTATTCTTCAATTGCATTTTACTGAGCTTGGTATACCCAGATTGGCAAAGGACTGGCTGACCACCTTTGTCGAAAGCCAGCTTTGTTCTTCCTTTCCGCACGTAACCGATGAAATAGGCAAGTAGGTAGGCGAAAGCTCTTTTAATCATAAACTATTCGCGGAGTGCTCTATCCTGAAACAACAGCCCATACTCACCGATTCTGCCGTTAGATAGAAGAGAACAATGATGTCCAGCAAAGTGGATAATGAGATGGACACCAGCCAAGGAAGCAGCAGAGTCCTGTTGTCCTGCGAGCGAAAGCAAGCAATTGGGATATCTATAGGTTAGAAAAGGAAAGAAATCACACTCGGTACACGAGAAGACAAGCACGCCACATCTCGGGAGATCACTGTGTGCATAAGACGAGTCGCTACCGAGAATGAACGACGCTGTTCACGCCGAAACTCACACATGAGGACTGTTTGCACATCTCTGCCGCCTTACATGAGCACCCGGGCGTGGTGCGAGAAATACACGCTGTTATGTACACAACTTCCGTCCTTTCCTGACTATTTATTTGTCCGAAAGTTGCTGTATACTTGCACGAGGGTGAGCTACAGCTACACGATTTTGTCTCCGGATACTGCGCAGCTCTACACGAGGAATAAATAGCACGAATATGAGTTTCGTGTTTTTTCCCACGAAAATATTGACACAAGTTTTGCAGTTACAACTTGATGATCTAGATTTCATTCGTGTAGTCAAGAAATCGGGCGTAACGAAAAATAAAAAAAAAGTATTGATCGATGTGGGTGAAAGCGGTCCATAGTTACAACTCAGTGACCGAGTACGGTGGTTATGAAGGATGTCACACTGGAGGAATTTCAGCTATTTTTAACTGATCTAGGAGGCCCCAAATTCACGCACTCATCATACACTGCGACTTCCGTAAAATAAAATGGCCAGACCTGCGCGAGTAGCGCCACACAGTCACAGCGAAAGCTGGGAGAGCGGCACTTATATAGACCCTTTAACGCTAGCGCATTAACGATCTCGTTTTGCAGAAATTGCGGCGTCGGCGTCGGCAGCATTGGTTGTGAGCGAAAAGTTTTCATCTTCTGCGTGAACAAAAAATTGAACCCTGTCGTTTGCGCCGCAAGTGAATGTTCTACCACACGACCACGCACCTTCTTGTGAATATGGTGAAAATAACTTTCTGTTCTTGGAAATGCATGAAAGTAAGTTTCGTGCTTCACAAACACACGCGTACTGAACAAATGCTTAACAATAAAACGTGAACTATTCAACGCTTGGTACAAGCGAACACTGCAATCAGGCTGCAAGATGTGCAGTTATCATGATGACTTTATGATTTAAAGCTGGTGACCCACTACGCATATATTCTGAAGGTCACTTAGTGGGTGAATAACAAGTTCGGAAAGATTTTATGCACAAAGTGCTTGAAGTGCGCCCTAAGTACAAGATATCGCTAACGTGTTTAACTTTTAAAGGTGATGCCTAAATATCCCCTAATTTTTTTCGAACAATTTTAGAATAACTACTACAAGTTCAGCTGCATGGTATACCCACTACGCCATAATAATATTTGTGTTGTGGGGAAGCACTCACTAGGCCATTATTCATAATTATTCGGAAAAACATGGTACTCGCTACACTCTTGTGAGACATTATTTGCACATTGTTGACGCCGTGGCGATGACGATGAAGAATTATGCCAAGGGCTTATGTAATGGGTTGGAGCACTCAGCGGTCTGCGTTTTACACAATTCATATTGGTGACATCTGGTTGTTACTTTATTCTCTTAAAGCTTTATTACACAGGTTAACGCAATTCCTTACCCGTCGTGAAGACTGCATAGGGTCAGTTTGCAATAGAGATCAATCATTGAAGTAGCTCAGTGGCAGAGTACTGGTTTGCCACACAGAGAGCTCGGTTTGAATTCCCATTCTGTCATGGGTATTTTTTTTTTATTTCGCGTGATACTGGTTACGAACAACGGTGGCGACGGACTAACTACGGCCCCATACTCAGCCCTTGAACTCTGAAAACAGCTTTCGCTGTAGAAAACCTGTAGCCATGCTTAGAATTCAGCTCCTAAAAAACATGCTTGGAATTCAGCTCCTAATTACTTAAAGTGCAACTGCACCGTGCATCACGAGTGATGGTATACTTTGGTCGCCATGAAACGCGGGATTAACTGCATTTCGTGGGCAATCGAATCTCGCTTTTGGGGAAGTGATTCCACAAGAGCGAGAATGTTTTTCATCTGAAGATGGTTAGTCAATTTCTTAAAGCAAAATGGGGCCATTTGTAGAAGAGCTCACTAATGCCTTTAGCGGGCTTTGTAATCCACTTGTCAAGTTGACAGAACTATTTTACACGTACATGATAGTATGATAAAAAAGAAGTAGCAATGAAGTTCAAGCTCTGAAGGCACACCCATTTTGGTTTATTAGCGCTACATTTAGTGCAACTAGATCCTTAATTTGTTTCTTTTGGACAGAAACGATCGGAATGTTTACGCTTCACAGACGGCCTCTATAAAAAAATGGAGTACGAAAGCCCCTGATTTAGACAACATGTTAACGAGACAGAGTAATACTGCGTTGATCATTCCCATCTTGCCTTAAGAAATGAGGCGTTAACATTTGTCGACTGCGTGTGCATTATTTGTGTGTTTTGTTTCGAATGACTGAAAGAGACAAGCATATAATGGGGTTGTTGAACTCACCCACACGAAGCTGTAAATCTTGAACGCCCACTCAACGAGACAAGAGTAACTATGTGGAGCATTCTCATAAGAAGGAAAGACCGAGTTAAATGAAAAGAAAAAAAAAACAATCGCACACACAGCAGCGCAGTGCACGTTAGCGCATACGGAAGACTAGAGTCTGGTTGAACTCTCTGCCTTCATGTTCATAAGTATCAATCGTATAATATTGTTTGCCTGCGTTTTAGCCCTTAAAATTATCTGATGCTCGCTTCCCGTTGTATATGAGTCTATAACATCTGCCAATAGCGTACAGCATCGTATCACACCATATAACACCGTTAACATCACAGCCAAGAGCAACACAGCACACTTGTGAAAACGTTTCCTGGCGACAGCTGATTCATTTGCATTCACCTGTTCTCAAGTTGGCCTCCTCTTGCATCTAATACATCATTTTAACGTATTACGCTTTTTTGTTCTTCGAAGGATAGAAGATAACGTTTAATAAGGTGAGATTGTTGGCTAGTTCGTTTAACCTTTTCAATAAAAAAAAACAGCGTGGTAAAAACGAGGACGAAGCAGTGAGTGAGAAAAGTTTACGAGGCAAATCGCGAGGTGCATAATATTGTAACGTCAAAAGAAAACTACATCAGCGCACCATAAATTTTATTATCTGACAGAAATTTCACATCTACCGACTAACTTGTCATAATTGTTCTGCTTATGCCATGCACTAGCAGAATCATGCTATAATGACCATACCGTTTTAATTTTTATGTTATTTTAAATGCGAAGCATTTCTTATCGAACTTCAGCAACTTTGAGCTCATCTATCTATCCATCTAGCCGCTTACGTTTGGGTGCTCTCGTGGTCACGCTCTCAACTTGCCGTGAACCAAAATTGGCATGGGAGGGTAAGATGTTTTGACGAATATGACGCACTGATCAAGACACGTATAATGTCACAATCCCGTCGCGCACGTCATCAAACATTTCCCGCCAGACAGTGGGCACATACCCTCGGGTGGGTGTGTGCCGCTGGTATGCGGGTATGTGCCACCGGTGATTTACACTTAGTATTTACCCAGGAACGACGAGAACACACATGGGGAATTTTAGCGCGTGAGTGTTAAGAAATACCCGACATCGGTAGCATCGACCCGACAAATGCAAAGAATAAATGTCAGGGTCCCAGCTGGAATCAAACCCAAGCATTATGTGTGGCAATGAAGCATTTTACCACAGCGCTACGCCAGGTCTCAAAACTTATTTTCAAATAGACGCTAATCTTCGTGAAACGTCAATAGTATTTGCAGTGCTGCCTACCCAATTTTATAAACATTACATATGTACTCCTTGGATACAGGCGTCACGTCGGGTTAACGTCGATTGTGGTTAGTCGCCATGCGCTAAAGTTGATTTATGTAGCAGTGTCCAGCTAGGGTCAGCATCCTCGCGAACATCAGCGCTTCATTTCAGCTTCTGGTGTTGCTAATGCACATATGTCTGTGCGTGCAACATTTGTACATATATTTAGCGTCATTTCATGACGAGTCACTCAATAAAAAAATTGCAACATGCTTAGCTTCCCTCCGCATGCTTCGCATAACATCGATTCTCAGGTACGTGGGATCTGGCGATTTTTTTTGTGTGTGATTATATTTTGTTTAGGATTAGGTGTTCTTACGTATCTATTTATATACTCATTTTCACCAGAAATAATTTCATCTGACGTTAGCGCTTTGTGTGGTGTGGTGCTCGTCCTTTTTTTTCTTTTTCGACTATGCAGTTTCCCGATTGAACGAAATAGCAATTTCGTAGTAATTCTTTACATGTTGACATATTTCCAGCAGAGTATTTGTTTATTAGTAAAAAAAAGTCGCAGCTTTGCCGCAAAGCCGAAGCAATGAACGCAAAAGAAACTAATTAGAAGGTCACACGCAGAATGACAAGCAGACCGAAAAACGCCCCGTGTTTCTCACGCACAAATGACGCACGAAACGTACTCACAGGTACGGATAAAAAAATAAACATCTCAGTTGTTACTTTGCCGCGTCTGAAAAGCACGCCTTTTTTGCAAACGGAGGCTGTGCAACGATTGCAGTGACCTTTGTGCGCACGGTAACTACAACAGAATCGTTGCGACTAAGCCCAAAGGCTAGCCAAGAGGTACGAATCTCCCCACTGCAAAATAAGAATGCGCGATTGAGCGTACACCCTTTTATTCTCTACGTGGGCCAAAGTACGCGTGAGAGATAAGAGCCGCCGCGCGCTCCCTGAGCCATCTTGCTGATAAAGCACCGGCGTAACTCAGTGGTAAAATAGTGGGCTGGCACACCATCTTGATGATAATGCTGAAAACACGATAGTTCCTCTCTCTCACGAGATGCCCGCCAACAACGGTAAGTGGTAGATATGAATACCTTGCCGTTTGAACGTTGAACGAGGCCCCTCTCGGTGGCTCAGTAGTAAATGCCTCACATTCACGACGCGGAGGTCCCACGTTCGATTCAGCGCGCCAGGGTCTTCTTTTGTGATTTTTTTTCTTTCTTGCATTTTCATATGTATAGATA